CACAGCTGACCTCCAGCTGGAGCGCTCAAGGGCCAGGGCTTCCCAGTTCTCAGAGTCTATGCCAGAGTTTTTAAGGTTGGCTTTGAGCCTATCTTTAAATCTCTTTTCCTGTCCACCAACATTCTGTTTTCCGTTCTTGTTTCCCATGTTTAAAGCATAGGCCACAGGAGGCCCAACTTGTGCGCCCTCCACAAAGCTAGATATTTCCAGTTGCTTTTTTCCTGGTGGGTATTCAAAATGGAAAGAAACATCCACCAGTAGAAAAGTATTTGGCAAGAAGCAGACCATTATGACACAATCGATGCCTCTTTGGACAGTCTCCTTACTGATACCATCTTGTCTTCCTGAGGTGTAGTTATTTCAAAATTAAGTCATGCAAGATTTCTCAGGACACACTATGCAAAGTGTCAGCATCAATAATAGGGCCTGTTTAAGACGAGGAGGAGTATTATCACCATCCCCAAGAAGGAGCAACACAAGGTACGCGAGAACCAAGATCTCCTGAGCGTGCAAACCAAGCAAATACACTTCCAAGCTTTCATGCTCCAGTGCCATGATAAGGAAGCCTTCGCCCACATATCTATTCAGTGCAGGCTGTCCTCCATAAGCTGCTTATCCCAAAGTAGTCCCTACTGACTTCAGTTGGACTAATGCAAAGCAAATTATTTGAGAACTGAGGACTTCTATTTTTTTGCAAAATATATCTGAAATATACAGGTGTTTCAGTTGTTTTTAAGTCTTAGATATTAACTAAAGGGACATGTAACGGAGTCAGTCATCAGAAGTAGGTTCCATATAGAACACATGTCCCACACTCAGAGCCCGTGAGCCAACGCTAGCCCACCATGTCAGTTTATGTGGCCTTCCAGATGGCGGACTACAACTCCCATATTCCTCATCATTAGATATCATGACTAGAGCGGATGAGAAATGGGATATAATAAGATCTGGGATGCTGCCATTTGTTCGGTTGAGTCAGGATAGTGAGGTTTGAATTGAAATACAAGGCTTGTTGATGTCTGACTTTAAAGTTTTCTTTAGCCATTCCCCAAACTGCAGCAGCTAAAAAAGCCAATGGGATTTTGGGCTGCATCCAAAGAAGTATAGTGTTCAGATTGAGGGAAGCCATGGTGCCTCTCTATTGTACTTTGGTTAGACTCTCCTGGAATACTGTGTTCAGTTCTGGGAACCACAATTTAAAGGAGATATTGATAAGCTGACCTTGAAGGAGCTGGGGGTGGTGACGGCCGACAGGGAGCTCTGGCGTGGGCTGGTCCATGAGGTCACGAAGAGTCGGAGACGACTGAACGAATGAACAACAAATTGATAAGCTGGAAGGTGTCCAGAGGAGGGCAACTAAAATTATCAAAGGTCTGGACACCAGGCCCTATGAGGAGTGTGTTAAAGAGCTGGGTATGTTTAGCCTGCAGAAGAGAAGAGGAGACAGGATCACAATGTTTTAAAATGGGAAAGGATGTCACAAGGTGTACTGGGTCAGCCTGTGCCTCAAACCTCTAGCGAAGATTCAGGGGATGAGTTGCCTCTGGAGACATTTCAGAGCCATAAGCAGGAGGGAATTCCAGACCCAAATCTGGATATAGACTTAACCCCAGAACCAGAGGCATCAGGAGAGGGTGGAGATGTAACAATACCTCAGTCTATAGAGCAGGAGCAAACTCAAGATAAGGCTTTCCCTCCACTCTCTAATCAGCCACCAGAGTCACCTGAGTCACCAAAAGAGCAGAGAGGAGAGAGGCTAAGGACTGCATTAAATGAAAGATGTAGAAGTGCTTGTTTAGCTGCAAGGGAGCAGAAGAGAGGAACAGCTGAAGTGTAGTCAGGATCCAGCCCATCGCTTGCTGGCTTACTGTAAAGCAGCAGTGAAATCTATGGGCAAGTTGTGAGAGCTACTGTACCCACTGTTTCTATTTTGCTGAGAATTTCCAGACCTTGAGCTCTGCTTTGGGTTATTTTTGACCTGTCTGCTCCAGCCTTGGCTTGTGCATTTGAACTTTGGACTACTCTCTCTGGATTATCCTTGAATTTGGCATAGTGACTTTGGTGAAAGTTTGGTGGAAGCTCCTTCCTTTGAGGCTTTTAAACAGAGACTGGAGGGCTATCTGTCAGGGCTGCAGTTTCTCAAGTCGCTCCTGACACGACCAAAAAAAAAGGGGGGGGGCTACTTTGATTGGGCTTTTCCTACATGGCAAGGGTTGGAATAAATGACCCATGTGGTCTCTTGTAACTCTATGATTCTATTTTGCCTCACCTGGAAGGAGGAAATGAGTTGCCCATTGCCCTAGATTACTGCTCCGGAAGCTATCACAATGAACCATGGATTCAAACTATGGGAAAGAGATTCCATTTAAACAGTAGGAAGAACTTGAGGGGGTAAGAGCTGTCTCAGAGGGTGACAAAGTCTCCTTTTTGGGAAGGTTTTTAAGCAGAGGCTCAGTGACCATCAGTCAGGAGTGCTTTGATTGTGTTTTCCTGCATGGCACAGGGTTGGAGCAGATGGCCCTTGTCATCCCCTCCAACTCTTTGATTCTATTCTATGACCCTATATTTATAGAGGCTCTTTTCACTATTGTCTGCTTATTGCAAAGAGGTTGTGTAATGGGGATGGGTACTGTACTTTTATTCGCACTATTACATTTTAAATGCATTTACATTGTTTAACATAAATTTTCCTTTAAACACTATTTGGGGAGCTAGAGTGGTTTGGTGCTTGGATATTAGACTTGGACTCTAGGAGACTAGAGTCTGAATCTCCACTTAGAGATGGAAATGCACTGCATGACTGTAGCAAATCACACACTCTTAGCCTTTGAAGAAGGCAACAGCAAACCTCTTCTGGATAAATCTTGCCAAGAAAACCCTGGGAGAGTATAGTCATAAGACAGAGATGACTTGAAGGCACATAAGAACAACAAGAAGTGGTTTTATAGTGTTGCTTATTTAATTGCTCTTAAAACATGAAATCACAGTACTTCAGTTGAGTTTTGTTTTGCTCCATGTTGATCACTGCATTGAGTCCCATACTGGAAGGAAGGAACAGTGCAAATCAAATAATACATTTCCATGCAATTAAATTAGGGGAAGGAGAATCTAAATTTTAAGTAAGGGTGAACATTTCCTTAAGGACATTATGCATCACTATCCAGAATTTTTTTTTATTCATTTTTAATTCCATCACATAAGAAAGAGAGTCAACCTCAGGAATTTGCAGTGCCAACATATTCCATTCCCTAAAGCAGGCATGGGGTGGAACCAATGTGGAATAGGGGAAGGGTTATAGGCGTGACTGAAGTTAGCAGTAGGTCGACATCTCCTTGACATTCCACCACAGTCACACATGAGTGCCTTTTCCCCTCATGGCTAAGGAATCATAGAATCATAGATTTGGAAGAGACCACACAAGCCATCTAGTCTAACCTCCAGCTGTACATGAACACAGAATCAAAGGACCCCTGACAGATGGCCATCCAGCCTCTGCTTACAGACCTCCAGAGAAGTATACTCCACCATGTTGGAAGTTGGAAGCATGTAGGAAGAGGCATGAATTTGCTGCTTCTCCTTTTTATGTGGTTGTATTTCTTATGGAATGGTATATTCAGTTAAGGATTGACTAAGCAGAGTTCTAAATGTTGCTGTTTCACAGAATCCTAAATGCTATTGTTAGTTTCATCTATAGCAGAGAGATCGAATCAGCTGGATCTACCTATGTGTTGGCTGTCCACTCAAAAACTGACAAATGGTACCTGTTAGGAGTAACCATACATAGAATTATAGTTATGGAGCTGCACATTTCTGTATTGTTTATAACCATTCATCCATACCTTCATAGTATTACTTTCTTCACTGATGCTGCAGAAACATGCTGTGAAAATGCTATTCCTCATGAGACAATAAGAAAGCACATCGGCGGGACTATTACCATTTTTGTAATGTCAGTATACAGCAGAAAGATGGTGTAATACAACCAGCATGTATATGAGAATAGATTTACACTACACAAACTCAGTATAGGTTCTCAGCCAATATATTGTAAACCTTTGTAAACCAGCTATCATATAAGATGTTTTTGCCCTTAACGCAATGCTATTCAGTCTTCTCATGACAGAACTCTTGCTTTATTTGAGTTCAGTGGTTCTCAACCACCCTAATGACATGGCCCCTTAATTCAGTTCCTCATGTTGTAGTGACCCTCAACCATACTATTTCACAACTGGAATTTTGCTACTGTTATGAATCTTTATGTATATATGTGACATGCAGGATGTATTTTCATTCACTGGGCCAAATTTGGCAGAAATACCCAATACGCCCAAATTTTAATACTGATGGGGTTGATTTTTGTCATTTGGGAGTTGTATTTGCTGTGATTTATAGTTGACCTACAATCAAAGAGCATTTTTAACTCCACCAACAATGGAATTGAACCAAACTTGGCACACAGAACTCCCATGACCAACAGAAAATACTGGAAGATGTTGGTGGGCATTGACCTTGAGTTTTGGAGCTGTAGTTCACCTATATCCAGAGAGCACTGTGGACTCAAACAATGATAAATCTAGACCAAACTTGGCATGAATGCTCAATATGCTGAAATGTGAACACTGGTGGAGTTTGAGGAAAATAGAGCTTGACATTTGGGAGTTGTAGTTGCTGGGATTTATAGTTCACCTACAATCAAAGAGCATTCCGAACCTCACCAATGATAGAATTGGGCCAAACTTCCCACACAGAACATTCATGAGCAACAGAAAATACCGTGTTTTTTTGATGATTTTGGTGACCCCTCTGACACCCCCCTCATAAACCCCCCACGGGTCCCAACCCCCTGGTTGAGAAATGCTGTTCTAGTTGAAGTAGTACTAATGACCTTCCTTCTATTTGGAAATACAGTGTGAATGATCTCACTTTCTCATCAAAACACAAGATTTTCCTTCTGTTTCTCTCACAGGTATTAATGAATTTCTGTGTCATATCATTTCTAGGTCAATGGAACAGAGATTGAATATGAATTTGAAGAGATCACATTGGAAAGGGTAAGTTAATTGTTCTTTCCCCTCCGAGTCAGGATATCTTTGTTAGCAATACAAATAAAGCAATTAGCTAGATATAATCCTTCATTTTCAATTAAAGTATCTGGAGTAGGATTCATATTACATAATTATACCAAAAAATCCTACCAATCAAGACTTGCTGATGAAGCTCAAATCCCCAAATGCCTGCTGATGTATTACTTCTCTGCGAGGGAGCTTTGTTCTAAAGATTGTCTTGCTCTTTTGTTTCTAAAATTTGAAAAGACCCAAACTTGGAAATCCTTCGTGTGGCAATCTGAAGCCTTGAGAACAATACTTATGTGTATGGTTTCTGGGTGAGATTCCCAGGGCACAATTTTATGTATGCATGCATCAGTTCAGGATATCTGAACTATTAGTAGAACATGTATGCATTGAACCGTGATGTAAATCCAATTTTCAAACCAAAGTAATACCCCTGAACCTCTCATATTTCTCAGAAATTCAGTGTGCTGTTTGCAGTAGACTCAAGGACAATTATTTCCCAAAGGCAACATGAGGATACTATTTCAGGCAACCAATTCTAGGATACAGCACTAGACTTGTGCATTCGGGGTAAACCTTGACCCATTCAATGTCCTGGCTTTTGGTGGGGGCTCTGATCTGCTTTTTGGGAGCCTCCTGAAATTGGAGGGCAGATATCTGTTTTTGCTCTGGGGTGCCAAAAAATCAGTTTTCTATTGGCCCATTATTTGGGGGGGGGGATTCCCAGGCTCCCTTTCCCATCATTTTAGATATTTAAGCTGTACTCTAGAGGAGAGGCACTCAACTGCATGCTTCAAGGTGGCTTCTTACCTGTTTCTTAATCCAGAGGAGGTGCTCGGCTGCAGGCAGGCACCCATGCTTTCTGGGCCTGCACACTACAAACAAACCCTTTTCAAGGAAAGGAGGCTACTCACAAAAAATACAAGGGGAGCCGGTATCGACTCCTGCTTGCTTTCGTGTTGAGCTGATTTTTGTAACAGGAGGGGGTTTCCTGTTACGTGCTCCTGAAGGTAATGAAAGTAATGAAAAAACAGATGTAATGATGGAAAATGGATCCATGCATAACTCTATACAACACAGGTCTTCCCTGGCTAGTCCTCCTAAGACTTTAGTAAAGAGCATGTTCCACATAGTCCTCCATACTCGAAAGCATTGCTACTTAAACTGTGGGTCTCAACCCCAAATGAGTTCCATAGCTCAATGTTCAGGTCACAAAATTGGCAATGGTAAAAGGTTTCTGAACTCTACCCATTTACATAAAAATATTCGCAACAACATGCTGATAGTGTTTACAATGGATCCTGCAGAAAATGCTTCAGTTGTACTCCACAAAAAGGAAAAAACAGCCTGTTTAGCAAGCTTTCTATCCTATGGTGACATTGAAGATACACGGACAATGTTGGAGTTAGCTATTCACATTTCTTCCCATAAATGAAGTACAAGGGGCACCAACTTGTATGTTTCTGGCAGTCAAATGTCTTGTGCTGACCTTTAAAATTATATGGGAAGTAGAAACATGTTCACTCATGCTTGCACCAGCAACTATATGCCTATGGTGGCAGAAGGGAAAGAAACTGGGAGGTTTCCCTTGTATGTCCTCTCATGTATTTTATATATTCTTTTCTTGTATTATAGTTTAGAGCAGGGGTCCTCAAACTAAAGCCCGGGGGCCAAATATGGCCCTCGGAGGTCATTTACCCGGCCCTTGCTCAGGGTCATCCTAAGTCTGAAAAGCAGGCTGACACTTCCCATTGAAATACTTAAAAGTTTATATTTGTTAAAATTCTTCATTTTAATTACTGTATTCTTTTAAAGTGTTTTTTGCACTACAAATAAGATATGTGCAGTGTGCATATCTTCATGTCTTTTTCAAATCAAATCAAATCAAATCATTTATTTCGGTCATTGACCAGCTCAGAAAATAGTCACATTTTCATACAAGCTTGGTATGTTTGGTACATTAAAAATATAAATATAAATATAATTTCAAATTATAATCCGGCCCTCCAGCAGTTTGAGGGAGTGTGACCTGGTCCTCTGTTTAAAAAGTTCGAGGACCCCTGGTTTAGAGTGTGTCTATATTCATTACTACTGATGTCTGAAACTCCTTCAATTGCCATGACTCCATCCTATAGAATCCTGGAGTTGTTTGGTGTGGGACTTCCCTGTTAGACGACACTAGTGATGTAGTTCAGGGGAGTCCACCAGGGTCTTTTGACAAAAAATCTAGAGAGCTGACAAAGCAGTCAGCTCTCCACATTTGCAGGTTTGACTTTTGTGAATTGGAGTAAAATGTTATCTCTAGAAATCTCTAGACCAGTGGATCTCAGCCTGTGGGTCCCCAATGTTTTGGCCTTCAACTCCCAGAAATCCTAACAGCTGGTAAACTGGATGGGATTTCTGGGAATTGTAGGCCAAAACACCTGGGGACCCACAGGTTGTAAACCACTGCTCTAGACTCTTCCACCAGAAACTGACAACCGTGCTGGGAAACCTAGAGAATGCTAGAGATGTGTTTTCTCAGGTTAAAACATGTGGGTTTTTTTTAAAGGGGGTTTTCACACTTTTGCAGAGGTCTTGTACCCCTAACTTCAGTGAATATGGAGGGCTAACCATAGCTCACAAACATCACTGCACAACTACCCACTTCTAGAAGGGGTGGGAAAGAAACAACCTTGAGAACTTTCACCTTCAATTGTTCGTGTTGTCCATACTCTTCCCTTCCACTAGAGGGACTAAGGCTGGCTTTAGCTTATAAAGCCCTAATCCAGTGGTTCTCAACCTGGGGTCCCCAGGTGTTTTTGGCCTACAACTCCCAGAAATCCCAGCCAGTTTACCAGCTGTTAGGATTTCTGGGAGTTGAAGGCCAAAAACATCTGGGGACCCCAGGTTGAGAACCACTGCCCTAAATGGTTCCGGCCCAGTTTACCTGTCCGAATGTATCTCCCACTGCGAACCGCCAGGGACATTGAGATCATCCGGGTAGGCCCTGCTCTCAGTCCCACCTTCTTCGCAGATGAAGAAGGGGACGAGACAGGACCTTCTCTGTAGTGGCCCATCGGCTGTGGAACGCCCTCCCCAATGAAATTAGATCTGCCCCCTCCCATCTGGCTTTCCATAAAAACTCAAAATCTTGCTATGGGATCAAGCATTTCAGCAGGAGACGTAGCAACTAGGAAGAGATTGTTTTCAGTGACCGACTATGGACTGACCTGGACCATGAGTTTGAAGTGGTGGAGTGTCTTAAATTGATTGTACATATGTGTTTTAATTGCTCTTTTAATTGTGATATTTTGCTTGTATATTGCTGGCATCTAATGGTTGCCTTCTGTAAGCTGCCCTGAGTTCCTCTCTGGGGGTGGGAAGGATGGGATATAAATACTCAAAATAAATAAATAAACACATATATTTGCAGAACCTTGGAAAGATTTTTCTTTATCAAATCCCATTTACAACCTAATCCAAAAGTTCATAAATAATAGTATCCTATTGACTTTCTTCTTGTATGTATATCAAATCTCCATTTTAAAATTACAAACTAGGCTATATTATATGAAAGCCTTAAATGTAATGAATGGTGCAAGATTATCTATTTCTTAGCAAAAATGACCAGAGCTTGGAAATGCTCCTTTTGGATTACACCATCTAAATCTTCCTTCTGTTTAAGGAGTTATCTGGGAGTTGAAGTCTAAAATAGGACCTTTTCTTAAGATCTTACAAGAGCGTGCCATTATCACAAAGGCAAATGAGCAATGGTCACAGATATTTGGGCATTTCTCATTGCAGTTTGTTAACTGGAGCATCAAAAGGTCACTGAGCAGAACACATGACTTCCAGGGTAAGATTTTTTCGAGTGCCAGAATTATTTTTAATAGATGCATACACTTATCAGTTTTCATAGTCAGAAGGGCAACATGATTTGTGTCAACCATTTGCAGCTTGACCTAGCATAGATAATTGATTATGCAGGCTCTAATCCCCAGCATTAAATCTTGAATGATGTTGGATAAACATGTGCTCCCACCCTTCCATTGCTCAGTAAAGACCTTGGCTGGAAAGCTTGGTAGTTTGAATCCAGGGAGAGAGTATCGCTTGCACAGCCTGGGCCGGGGGAAAGGCGACACTGTGAAGATCTGGCAGAAAATCCCAGCTGTGTTTATGGCCATTAAAAGATCTAGATGAACCATTATGCTAACTAGGCTGCAAAATAAATTCTTAGTCAGCATTGTCTTCGGTAACATGACCTAAGACTTTATCTCTAGGCAGTTTGCACAAAAGATACGGGTCAGTATTATGCATCAGCTACACAGTTAGGTATACTGGTAAAGTACATAGGAATAGTGTCACCATCATGATTAAATTGCAATCATGAATACAGAATGAGCAACTATTCCATATTCATGACTGCCACTTAATCATGTTTACGTGACACTATTTCCACAATCTTAACTTCCCCATCCACCAGCTTCTTTATTTGATTTGGCTGCATGGGGAGAAAGAGGTCAGTTCTACAAATGATAAGAGCATCAGGTGGGGAAGGAAGCCAGGAAGTGTATTTAATATATTTACAATTATACCTAATAATATTTTATGCATAGGTAAAGGTAAAGGTTTCCCCTGATATTAAGTCTAATCATGTCTGACTCTAGGGGTGGTGCTCATCTCTATTTCTAAGCCAAAGACCCAGCATTGTCCATAGACACCTCCTGGGTCATGTGGCCAGCTTGACTGCATGGAGCACCGTTATGTCCCCTCAGGAGCGGTACCTAATTATCTACTCACATTTGCATGTTTTCACATTGCTAGGTTGGCAGAAGCTGGGGCTAACAGTGGGAGCTCACCCTGATGTTCAGCAGCTCAGTGGTTTAATCCACTGTGCCACCAGGGGGCCCTTTTATGCAAAACCCAGCATTAAAAAAACCACAATGATCTGTATTCCACATCAACTATTTAGGTTTGTGTGTTTTGTTTTTTTTGTC